CAAAAAAAAATAAACTAAGAAAGTGTAATTCTTCTTGTGAAACCAGATTAGATGATGGGTGAAAGGTTGGGGTGTGTGTGGAATCACCTAAATTTGACTCTGAAAGAATGAATGCAAATAATGGGGCTTATAGCTATATAATAAACTGTACACTTCTGCCTGGTATTCATCAGCCTGCATAAATTTGGTCGTTAGCTGTTTTTCTCCAACTTATGTCCTACTCATTTGCTCTCCTTACTGTGTTCTACCAAACATTTTTCTACCTCCACCCTATGAATCTCTAATCTCCTGGCATTTTGGCTGGTAGAGCAGAATTCTCCCCATCCTCCTGCCCCACCACAGCCATTCATTTCTGCCTCCTGAGATGACATTTTATTGTGTGTACCAGTCGGGGAAAAAAATGCTAGCTGGTGCAAACTACTGGGCACCTGCTGCCACCATTTACATTTATCTCCTGAATTTATTGCCTCAGCCCAGAAAAGCTGAAATGGTAGCTTCTCCCCCTTTCTTTTCTTTCATTTCCCTTTCTCATCCCTTTCTTTCTATCAAAAACTGACATATTTATTCGGTTCTATGAAAGAATTTACTAAACTTAAAGGAAACATACAAAGGCTATGAAAATGTTCAGATAAGGGGCAGCTAGGTGGCACAGTGAATAGAGCACCAGCCCTGAGGTCAAGAGGAATTAAGTTCAAATCCAGCCTCAGACACATGATATGCACTCGCTGTGTGACCCTGGGCAAGTCACTCAGCCCTGATTGCCTCACCAAAGGGTAAAAAAAAATGTGTAGATGAAAACACACTAGACAAGGCTTAGGGTCAGGAAGACTTGACCAGCTCAGCTATTTATTAGTCGACTAAGCAAGTCATATAGCTTCTCCTTGCTTCATTTCTATTGATTTGTAAATTGATGGAAATTATAGCATTTGTCTTACCTTCTTTATATGGTCATTAAGAACATTGCTTTATAAACATTAATGCAACTGATAGTTGAAAACTATCATTATGTCAAGAAAAAAATTTAAAGTCCTCACGAGTGATCATGCATCTGATATCACTACGCCTTTGCATTGGTTGTCTCCCACACCTGGAATTCACTTCTGCTTCACCTCCAGCTCAGAATCTCTTGTTTCCTTCAAAACTCTGCTCTACTGACACCTTCTACATCAGGGGCTCTTAAGCTGTCCTTCTTACCATTACATAGATAGATAGATAGATAGATAGATAGATAGATAGATAGATATAGATAGATATAGATATAGATATAGATATAGATATAGATATAGATATAGA